ACCATTGTTTGAAGCTCCCGGGTTGGCCCCTTACCAGGGAAGTGTGCCTCGATATTCCTGGCATTGTTACCATGTTATTATTCATAGTTCGCCATCTGTGCCTCCTGGCATTCCTAACGTATGACATTTAATACCGGTCATTGTCACTTTCTGTGCAAATAACATTTTCACTCTGATGCCTCTGTATTGACAATTCTAGGCACCCACTTATTTCCATCTCCTGAGTTTGTGCCAGTCTGGGCTTGCACGTTTCTCTACACTTTCTTGTCTAATTAATGCAAAGAAAACATGAGCTGGGAAGAATAAGATTAGTTAATGAATAGGTTATTTTAACACATGACAACACCCAAGTTAGATCGGGGTGATTGCATTCCTAGGCATGAGATTTTGTAAGTGTAAGTAATTTTGTAAATCAACAATTGTTTCATTTGAGCTACAGCAAAACCTGAAAGAGTTCCTTTCCTAAATGATTAAAGAGACACTCAAAGTACCATAACCACTACATATGTGTGCATAGTTTATTTTATCAGTATGAGTGCAAAGAATCGACAGTAACCTTAAAAAAAATGTTTCGAGCATTTTAACAAATAATAGAGGATTCACTGCGCACAACCCAGTTGTCACGACCGTACTGCAACCCTAGACCCATCCTAGTATACAGGTCCTCCATATACATGCATGCCTGAACATTGGGAAGTATGGATTCAGGGCACAGGTGGGCAGGCTTTGGAGGTCACAATGGGCAAAACCCACCTGGGAAATAAATAAGCCCACCCAATCTGGCATCAAACACTCCAGGCTGACAGGCAGCATGTTCCTATTGTCCATAGAATGAGCTTGCACTCTGCTGATCGAGGACAATTTCCTCGTCCAGAAACAAAGATCACACATGTCCGTGATACGGACAAAGAAACAAAGATCATACATGTTAGAGATACAGACAAAGAAAGAAAGATCATATATGTCCGTGGTACGGGCATACGGCCAAAGAAACAAAGATCATACATGTCAGTGACACGGCCAAAATCGTGACAGTTGGAAGGCCTGTAATTGGTCTGTATCATGCAATAACCTTAAGAAGTGCCACCTACAGATATGTATGTATATGCATGTGTGCATTGCATGTGATTGCTTAGAATTTGTGGGTGAATGTGTATGTGTCACATGTGTTTGAATCAGTTTGTATATATATGAAAATTGTGTGAATGAATAAGTAAGTGATTGTAGTGTTTTTGTGAATGAAATGTTCATGTCTGATTGCATTATTTAATCCAGAGATACTGTATTTACCTTTGACCTTCAGCTGTCTTTAAACTACATCTCCCATGATGCTAAGCCAGGATTTAGGCCTGCTGAGCTCTAGATATTGTTTATAGAATTAGTGAGTGCGTTCCTCATTTAGTTCAAGCAACCTAAAGTCAGGCTAAGTATCCTCCAGAGTATAGTGTATAGTGTACTGCTCACAGTACAACAAACCTTCTGTACTATCAATTCAATGCTACTTTCTTACATTTCATCTATCTCCTTTACCAAGCAGAGTTACTACTTTCCTTCATCGCTCATTTTCTATTTTGCAGCTTAGTTGCAAGAAAGATTGATAAATTATATAAAAGTTCTAAACACTCAATCCTCCACCTTGTTTTCCCCAAAGTCTGTTCTTATCTGTTAGAAAAACTGGCTACGTTCTCAGCACCTCTGCTCTAATCCATATATTTTGTTTTGATGACTTTTCAAGTAACTGAAGAAATTTGATGCCCAGTATTTTAAGTGAAGCCACACGTGAATATACCATAACCACTTCAGGCACAATGCCCAATGCATACAGCTAAGACTTCCAAACACAGAATCTGAGTTTTGTTACTGTGTTGTTTTATTGCAAACCTTTTGAGTAAATTAATATATTCTGCTATTAGAAGGGGATTCTGTATTTTCTTTTTTTTTGTTATTGTCATTTATATGCAGATTATTAATGGTTCTGTGGTGCATATCTCACCGTGAAGTAAAAGCAGAAATTATTTTTTGTGTAAAAAATTTGGAGGAACTATTTTTTGAGAATTATATTTAGGCAGAGTGTCAGTATGACATATATTGACAACAAAAATAAAGACAAAATAAAGAGTGACTTGAATAATGTGAAATGTATATTTCAGTGAAGGGGATCTTCATCCAGGAAAGGTACCTGTCCAAACATGATTATGCCTTCCTCTGTAGTAATCGCTATTTTCTGTACTACAGACCTCTGTCATCAACTACACACATTAACACTGTTTAAACTGACATTGCCCTCCACTTAACATGTTGCAATAACACATTTCCTTAGACCTAAAACACAGCCGTACCAATATGGTGGTGCTTCTGCTAATTGTCCATATACTATTATGACAGGACAGGTGATATATACTACATAGTGCTGAAAGGCCCTTATTTTTAAGAGTTATCAAAGACATTTAGAGATTGTTTAGAAATATGATGGTCTTACTATTCTACATGAAACCTTATTAACACACAACTTTTTCCCAAGGGCACAACACATTTGACAAAGTCATAACAGCCTTTTTTTCTTTAGGTACTGATTAGGCTAAATCACATTGCTAATAAGGTAATTGATTGTGTTTTGTATTGGGAATGCCACCCAGAGTGAAACTACATCCAGGATCAAATTCAGTTGTATTCATTTTGATACTGCATATTTTAAGATATACATGTTTTTCTATATGCTGATCCTTGGAACTGTCCGTCCCTCTCTCCCTCCGTTATTAATTCATTAATCCACCACCCATCCCTTATTCCGTGGCATCTATTCTCTGTGCTGTGCCAAAGATCATACATTCATGGACCACAAGTCATACTTGTGAGGTTAGATCAAAGTAATTGAGCCCTCAAGATGACAAAACATTTAGGTCAGGGGGCGAGTGACCAGCAAAGTGAGTGGACACAGATTTTGTGGGCTTCATTGCAATCAGCTAAAATACTTATTTTTTTGCTATCCAATTCAGCATTTTGATATACTACATATCAGGGCCGGACTGGGACAAAAATTCAGCCCGAGCATTTAAAGGCAGAGCAGGGCCATGACCCAAGAGGGTGTATGTTGTATCATCACCAATGACCCGATTGCCTCTCTAAAGTGGGCATATCTGTTTAATGCCCCTCAGGGAAGCTCACGTGTAGTGTGGGGGGATAGGGGATGTGTGTGGGACGGGCTGCAATTTCAGTACTAATGATGATGGTGGGTATGCTGGGTAAACCACCCTTCTTCTTTGAAGCATCACCTATATCCTTCTTTCATTACCTCTGCAGATCCACATTGCAGTTTCTACAATCTCTTCATACTGTCACCAAAACCTCATAGCTCTCTGCTATAACATACCACTGGGCCCAGTGAGATCACTAGTAGCCATTAAAGATGGGGTACAGCTATGTTCCTGCAGAAACTGAGACTCTTTTTGCAACCTGTCTAAACATTAGAGACAGCTAATATCCCCACTTGGCAAATGGACACCATAGTTCCCTCTGTTCCCTTCTGGACAGGCATGTTGAAGGTTGAGTGACAACGGGCTTGCATCCAATTTTTATGTCTTTTGGACATCTTCAAATTACATGTTTAGTTAGTTTTTTGCTCACTTATATTATTTTCAGTTATTTCTGCTTATGTTATTTTTTTCCTTCTCAAAAATGAGCTGGCTTTTAAGCCTTTAGTAATTACTAGGGCTAACTGGAAAATTTTCACCCTTTTCCTCTCCCTCCCATTTTGTACCTAGGGGTTAGTGGGTCTTTCTTTCTCTCACCCTTAACAGTTTATATATACTGTTTGTGCTTGGGGCACTGGCTCTTTTCCCCTCTCTCGTAACCTTGTATACATTGTGATATTGTGCATCCATGACCTGCCTAGCCCACTGGTGCATCATTATGTCTGGCTATTTTACAGTTCTATATTGTTTTGGTTCTATGTCCTATTGGAAGAATTTATGGAATGTTTAATCCTTGCTTAGTAAATCTACCGTAGCTGCCACTAGGCTATCATTGTATTATATATATATATATATATATATTATCAGTTCTTGCTTCTGCATAACCATAGTAGGACACAACCGTATAAGTAAAACCCCTTTTTCTAGTGGCTCTATATGGTATGGATGTCTTAATTAAAAAAAAAAAAGAGAAAAACGAACCGCATTCAAACCACGTGAAGATCCTGCTGCTAAACTGGACCAAGGGCCAGCACCAGCCCCAGGGAGTAGATATCAGTGGTAGAAAGAGGATACAGGCACTACAAGTATCTTCAATTGTATTTATTAGGACAAATGAGACACCTCACTTTCTTCCTTTGATACTTTCTTAATTTTAGGCTGATGTTCCTTGCCGTATCATGGTTTGTATTGTAAACACAGTACTTAAAGGACCACTATAGGCACCCAGACCATTTCAGCTTAATGAAGTGGTCTGGGTGCCAGGTCCAGCTAGGATTAACCCTTTCTTCTTTAAACATAGCAGTTTCAGAGATCCAACCTCTAGTGGCTGTCTCATTGACAGCCGCTAGAGGCGCTTCTGTGCTTCTCACTGTAATTTTCACAGTGAGAAGACGCCAGCATCCATAGGAAAGCTTTGAGAATGCTTTCCTATGGACTGGCTGAATGCTTGCGGGCATGCGCATTCAACCGATGACATCAGAAGAGGGAGGAGAGTCCTCAGCACCGAGGGAGCCCGGCGCTGAAAAAAAGGTAAAGGATTAACCCCTTCCTCCCCCTTCAGCTCCACCGGAGTGGGACCCTGAGGGTGGGGGCACCCTCAAGGCACTATAGTGCCAGGAAAACAAGTATGTTTTCCTGGCACAATAGTGGTCCTTCACACAAGTCGTAAAAAAAACCAAGAAAAAAACCCACACAAAAAATTTTTTAGGGGGGCGTGGCTGGACCGAGCATGGGAGCAGACATGTAGAGCCTGTGCTCTGTGCCCTCGGCCTAATACCGGCGATAATTAGCGTGAACTGCCGCAGTACCATGGTCCGGAATAAGAGGGCTATGCCTCACGGGACACCAGCGACCGTCTCCCCTCGCCGATACACCGGCACGTTAGATGATTTTGTCACCACGCCGGCGGACCTGAGAGGAGCTGAGCCGGCAGCTAAAATGGCGCCGGAATCCCCTGGGGCTGAAAGCGCGGGTGTCTCGTCGGAAGATGGAGACCGGAGTGACGCGCTGTGCCTGATCCGCCAGGAGCTTACTCGGATCTCCACTCATATGCTCACGAAGTCAGACATAAGCAGCCTATTGCAGGAATTTCGCACAGCTGTAAGGGAGGAGATCTCTGCAATCAGGTCAGACCTTTCTGCAGTGGAGGCCAGGGTGGAGGCCCTGGAGACTGAGGCGCAGGAGAGTCGTTCCCAACATAGGGCAGCAGAAATAGCCGCCACATGGCAGGGGAACCTCCTTCTGACACTGAGGCGACAGGTGGAGGACCTGGAGAACCGCAGCCGTCACCAGAATATATGGATTAGAGGGCTGCCGGAGCCGGACGTGGCACCACTGCAGGATACAGCGCAGGCCCTCTACAGACACATCCTGGGCCGCGAGTGCCCGGAAGACATCCAATTTGACCGGATCCACAGAGCCCTGGGCCCTCCACGGCAGGATGGGAAACCCAGGGACGTCCTGTGTTGTCTGCACGCTTACAGGCTGAAGGAATCTCTGATGACCGCTACTAGGGGCACCGACAAGCTCATGTTCCAGGGTGCCGAGGTGGCACTGTTCCAGGATCTGTCTAGCCTGACACTGGATGCCAGGAGAGCGCTCTGGCCCATCACCGCTGCCCTTCGGGAGAAGAATATACCCTACCGCTGGGTGTTCCCCTTCAGTCTCCAGATCCGGCATGGGAACTCATGGCTATATATTCGCTGGCCTGACGATGTCACCCCGACGCTGAGGAGCCTGCGCATTCCCCATATCCGCATCCATAATTGGCTATTGGAAAATCCGCTGGCACCAAGAGGAAGATCAGGGGAGCAGAGTCCACAGTTGGAGCAACCGCGGGCGAGCGAGCACCCCGCGCGAATGATAAGCGGCCCTGCAGGTGCGAAGGAATAGGCGGACTGCCCACAGGAGCTGAATGTTCTGCAGGAAGGTACTGGGGTTGGGCACCGTGGATGGCCATATTGGGAAATAGTAATTAGGTGGGGTGGTGGCCCGTGATCTGCTGAATGGACCTCCCCTCCTCCCCCCCTTTCCCTCCCCCCCCCCAGCTGCGAGATGACCGGGACAATGAAGATCGTGACTTTCCTCTCCCTCCCTCCTCTCCTGTTCCCTGTCCCCTCCCCTCCCGTACCCACGACCCCTGCGGTTGGAATAGCTAGCGTTGAGTCCCCTCACTGTGTTTTGGGAGGGGGGAGTGGGCTTGGAGCCAGGACTTGGGGTGGCCATGTGAATACTGTGTCGCTCTGGGAGGCTGGATGGGACCTGGAGGGGTGTTGGATCTGGGCCGCTGGAATGTGATGTTGGGGGATATTGGGGTGGTCAGTGAGGGGGGTCGCGGGGGAAAGGATCTGAGACGACCACCGAGGCAGTATAGGGCTTCACTAAATAGGGGGCTGATCGTGGAAACGGCCGGGTGACGGTTGGGCTTACCGCAGACGAGCAGTAAGGAGACTAGCAGTAGCAGTACCCATACCGACCTTTACTAAGAGCTTCGCTACAGGGCCGGTAGAATAGGACACAGTTGACACAGCTACATCTACCACCTTCATTAACAGACACGTGGCTTTTTGCTCGGGTTCCGCGCACAACTCCTTGGATCGACTGGGGACACTAGACGGGAGGCCAGCAGGAGACTGAGTCAACTACGGGTTGGGGACTCAGACCTAGCGGGTTCTTTCCCTACAGTCAAGTCCAACTTTCCCCTCTAGGGACGACCTCTCAGGGCAGGGACTCCCTTCCCTCCCGACAGATCCCCTACGACTGAGCTGCCCCACCCCTCCTCTCCTTCTCCCGCATTCCTGGCTCCCCTTCGCGAGTTTCCCTTTCCTATCGGTCATGTCTGGCCCTCGGACTGGGGGGTTCTGCCCTGCCCCTCTACGCCTTTGGACCAACAACGTCAGGGGACTCAATGCCCCAGAAAGGAGGTCGCACCTGCTTCGGTCCCTTTGGGCCTCTCGGGCCTCAATAGCATTCCTCCAGGAGACCCATTTCAAGGGAGCGAACAGCCCCGCTCTACACAATGCACGATTCCCTGTGATACTTCGCCAATAACCTGGGGGCCAAGAGAGCAGGGGTACCATTTTGCTGCCTTGAAACAAAGGCGGATCCTGAGGGTCGCTATTTATTCCTGAAAGGTACTATTGCCCACAAAAAAATACACATTCGCATCGCTATACGCTCCGAATACGGGCCAATATCGCTTCCTAGCCGGGACCCTCCGCCAACTAGACAAGTTCAGAGAGGGACTCCTCATAGTAGCAGGGGACTTCAATGTCCCTCTGGATCCACGTATCGACACCTCCAGAGGACGTAGCTCGCACCCAGACTTATGTATATGCAGGTCAGGGAAGGCATTGCGAGAAACAGGTCTGGCCAATTCCTGGAGGGTTCTCCATCCAGAGGACAGGGACTTTACGTTCTACTCACAGGTGCATCATGGACATAGCCGCCTTGATTACATCATGATAGCGCATGAATACTTGCATCTTCTCCTATCCTGTTATATACAAACGACGATCTGGTCGGACCACGCCCCGGTCTTAGCCACGATGCGCTCCCCTCTGTAGACAGTGGAGAGTGAATACACAGGTGATTGAGGACCCCTTGCTACAGGCTGAGTCGCGGGAGGTCCTGCAGCAATATTTTGCAGAAAACCGCACTGCGGATACCTCGCCTCAGATTCGGTGGGAAGCCAATAAATGTGTCCTACGAGGCCACTTCATCAAGATCTGTACCAAGCGTAAACAGGAGCACAACAACAAACTACAGGGAGTGCAGAATTATTAGGCAAGTTGTATTTTTGAGGATTAATTTTATTATTGAACAACAACCATGTTCTCAATGAACCCAAAAAACTCAATAATATCAAAGCTGAATATTTTTGGAAGTAGTTTTTAGTTTGTTTTTAGTTATAGCTATGTTAGGGGGATATCTGTGTGTGTAGGTGACTATTACTGTGCATAATTATTAGGCAACTTAACAAAAAACAAATATATACCCATTTCAATTATTTATTATTACCAGTGAAACCAATATAACTTCTCAACATTCACAAATATACATTTCTGACATTCAAAAACAAAACAAAAACAAATCAGTGACCAATATAGCCACCTTTCTTTGCAAGGACACTCAAAAGCCTGCCATCCATGGATTCTGTCAGTGTTTTGATCTGTTCACCATCAACATTGCGTGCAGCAGCAACCACAGCCTCCCAGACACTGTTCAGAGAGGTGTACTGTTTTCCCTCCTTGTAAATCTCACATTTGATGATGGACCACAGGTTCTCAATGGGGTTCAGATCAGGTGAACAAGGAGGCCATGTCATTAGATTTTCTTCTTTTATACCCTTTCTTGCCAGCCACGCTGTGGAGTACTTGGACGCGTGTGATGGAGCATTGTCCTGCATGAAAATCATGTTTTTCTTGAAGGATGCAGACTTCTTCCTGTACCACTGCTTGAAGAAGGTGTCTTCCAGGAACTGGCAGTAGGACTGGGAGTTGAGCTTGACTCCATCCTCAACCCGAAAAGGCCCCACAAGCTCATCTTTGATGATACCAGCCCAAACCAGTACTCCACCTCCACCTTGCTGGCGTCTGAGTCGGACTGGAGCTCTCTGCCCTTTACCAATCCAGCCACGGGCCCATCCATCTGGCCCATCAAGACTCACTCTCATTTCATTAGTCCATAAAACCTTAGAAAAATCAGTCTTGAGATATTTCTTGGCCCAGTCTTGACGTTTCAGCTTGTGTGTCTTGTTCAGTGGTGGTCGTCTTTCAGCCTTTCTTACCTTGGCCATGTCTCTGAGTATTGCACACCTTGTGCTTTTGGGCACTCCAGTGATGTTGCAGCTCTGAAATATGGCCAAACTGGTGGCAAGTGGCATCGTGGCAGCTGCACGCTTGACTTTTCTCAGTTCATGGGCAGTTATTTTGCGCCTTGGTTTTTCCACACGCTTCTTGCGACCCTGTTGACTATTTTGAATGAAATGCTTGATTGTTCGATGATCACGCTTCAGAAGCTTTGCAATTTTAAGAGTGCTGCATCCCTCTGCAAGATATCTCACTATTTTTGACTTTTCTGAGCCTGTCAAGTCCTTCTTTTGACCCATTTTGCCAAAGGAAAGGAAGTTGCCTAATAATTATGCACACCTGATATAGGGTGTTAATGTCATTAGACCACACCCCTTCTCATTACAGAGATGCACATCACCTAATATGCTTAATTGGTAGTAGGCTTTCGAGCCTATACAGCTTGGAGTAAGACAACATGCATAAAGAGGATGATGTGGTCAAAATACTCATTTGCCTAATAATTCTGCACTCCCTGTAAAGGAACTATACGCCCGGGCTTCGTTACTCGAGCAGGTACACAGATCGGCCGCGACGGACGACAACCACTGCGCACTCTTAGAAGCCAGAAGAGACCTGAAAAACCTCCTATCCCGGAATTTTCTATATACGCGCCGTAAGTCCCACAGATTCTATTACGAGCACTCAAACAAATGTGGGCGAATGTTGGCTAGGATGATTCAAAAGAAGCGGAGACAGTTCCAAATCACAATGCTGCAAACTGCAGGGGCACCCCCCATACGATGCCCTGATGGGATCATGACTAGGTTCCTCAAGTTTTACTCTAAGCTCTATAACCTACCTGCAGCTACTGGCATGGAGGAGTCGCAATGGAAGATGACCAGAATAAGGGAATACCTGGAGCAATACGTCTCCCGGAGGCTTACCCAAGCACAGGCGGAGTCGCTGGACGCCCCCATTTCCTTAGAGGAGCTGTCGGGTGCCCTTAAGGCCGCAAAAGCGAACAAGGCCCCAGGACCGGATGGGTTCCCGGTACAATACCTACGGACCTTTGGGGAGATCCTCCTGCCGGAGCTGCTAGTGAGCCTTAACTCCATTCTGGAGGGTGGGAGGTTTCCAGAGGATACCCTTATGGCTACGGTGGCGGTGGTGCCGAAGGAGGGAAAAGACCCCACGTCATGCACAGGGTATAGGCCCATCTCCCTCCTCAATGCGGACCTTAAATTATTCACGAAGATCCTCGCACTCAGGGTTAGTGGGGTGATCCCGGACCTGGTACACCCAGACCAGACAGGGTTCATCCCGGGATGAGAAGCAAAGGATAATACGGTCAGGGCTCTTAACCTCATGCATATCAGCAAGACTACCGCCCGATGGGGCCTTCTGCTCTCCACGGACGCAGAGAAGGCTTTTGATCGGGTGGATTGGCAGTTCATGAGGGAAACGCTTCGGGAGATGGGCTTTGGCCTGCATATCCAGGCCTGGATAGCGGCGCTCTATGCGACTCCGAAGGCCTGCCTGCGGATAAACGGAGCCTTATCCCCCTCCTTCTCGATTAGCAATGGAACAAGACAGGGGTGTCCCCTGTCCCCCTCCTGTTTGCCCTTACACTCGAGCCGTTTCTTGCGGCGGTCAGACAGGACGGGGGTATAACGGGATTCACCGTATCGGGAAGAGAACACAAGGTAGCTGCCTACACAGACGATCTGCTATTTTTTATTGCAAACCCAACGGTGACACTCCCGAATTTACTTCAAGCCTTTCGAGTTTATGGGGCACTCTCCAATTTAAAGTTGAATGCTGATAAATCGGAAGCTCTGCCCCTTGACCTTCCCCCGGGTCTGTCGGCCCAACTGAGGGCGAATTTCCCCTTCAGATGGTGTACATGGCGAATAAGTTATCTCGGCATATGGCTGACAGAAGACCTGTCAAGGCTTTTCTCTGAAAACTACCTACCTTTACTGGAGACGCTGGGAGCGGATATGAAGAGTTGGGGGGCGGCTTGTGTGTCTTGGTTCGGGAGAATAAACGCTGTTAAGATGAACCTCCTGCCGCGCCTCCTGTACCTGTTTCAGACAATCC